AAGTTAGGGAAACATTAGCAATTGTTCAACACAAGCCATCTTTAAATCTAAATACAAGATCAAATCCTCTTGTTATATGAATTTATTTAAAGTAAAGTGTATGTACAATTTCCTTTCTAACTGTTATCATTCTGTAGTATATTATTCCTCGAGTTATGTGTAATCTTTTCTCTCTCGTGTTTTATTGTAAAGATTTCTTGACAATGACAATAAAAGTTGTCGAAACGTCAACATGATAAAAAACTTAATTTTTTTGCTGCTGTTAAGCGAGTTAGAAATTATATCAAATTATTGCCCATTAATTCAAATAATCATTTATCTTCTATATTCACTCGATTCGATTGGATCCAATTGTCGTGTCCACTTAGTTCAAATGTACTGTACCTTCGAATATCTATATAAACGTCGGTCAACGACACATTTACTTTATTTCCTCATCAACGTTAATCTTCGGCTATGACCTCAACACCACATTCAACAACTATTCCTATAATCGACCTAACATTATCACCAGAACATTCTATAATTAGCAAATCCAATGTACGTACTGATCCACGTCTTCGTCTTAATTTATCATATTTTAATCATTCACAATTAGAACATCCTGTATACTTACCACCACTCAACGGGTATTTCACTATTTTATTTTTATTAAAGCAAAAAACGCTTCAGTATTAAAGAATGTAACAAATTCAATTAAATTACATGAACGTATAAAACCAATAGTAAGTAATAAATCTATTCAGCGTTCCAATTATAACGAATCATTGATCAATCAAGCAAAATTATCTTCGGATCGAACGTTCGAATTTCCATGGAACATGGACAATGTTACAAAAATATTTGCTACAACAGTTGGTAGACAAACTACTTTTTTGCGTTCTTACAAATAAAAATCATTTTTTCTATAACTTCAATAAACTTTGTTACATTTTTTTCTTTGTTGTTTGACAAGTAACGCTCGTCTGAGGACTCGCTCAGCTCTTTCTCGTAGAACTCGTATTCTACAATACTAAACTTTTTGCTTATACAGTTTGGAAAAATTAACACAAGATTTGTGTTCTTCCACCCTACTTACCCTTCGGTCACCCCTTATGAAAATTTTTTTTTATAAAAATTGGTTCTCTCCCTAACAAAGTGATCCATAAAATTATTTTATAAAACTAACATCAGATTCGAAGTCTCCGCATCGAAATGCCCCAAAAATGTCTTTTCTAAAAAATCGATTCTCGAATTACTCTCTGGTAAAACTTTCTTGGAACTATCTTTAAGATTAATAATATTAATTAATTATTAATTGATTTTTAACTAAAATTAACCTCAGATTCGAATCCTTGGCACTCGATTACCCTTCGGGTAAACTTTTTTCAAAAATTAATAATATCAATTATTAACTGATTATTAACTAATCAATTTTAATAAATCAATCTCAGGTTCGAGTTCTCCATACTCGATTACCCTTCGGTCCAAGTTTTCTGAAAATATTTAAAAAAAATTAATAATATTAGTTATTAACTAATTATTAATTGATTGTTAATTAAAAATAGCCTCAGATTCGGATTCTCCACACTCGATTACCCTTTGGTGAAGTTTTACTCGAACATATAATAATACTAATTATTAACTGATTATTAACTGATTATTAACTGATTATTAATTGGTTAATTTTAATAAACTAACCTCAGATTCAAGTTCTTCGCCTTCCATTACCCCCCAGTCAAAGTTTTCCGGAAGTATCTGAAGAATTAAGTTTCAATGTTTTTTTGACCCTGCGGACATACAATCAAGCAAGCAAGCAAGCAAACAATTTATGATTACTGAACTTTTCTCTACGAGAAAGAGAATAAAAGAGATATATATTTCTTTCCAGTAATTGTTTTTTCTAGATTATAAAACATTTGAACAACAAGTGAATCAACATTATACTGATACTAATTCTACAACTGCAATGTCTTTATTACCAACAACACGATTAATTTATTCAGCTACTAATCAAAGAGCTCGTGAAAATCTCTTAATTGAAGAGATCGATAATTTAATTAGACAATTGATGAATGGTCCATATCATTATTCACCTTATCGAGTCATTCTCTATTGGACAATCAATGATCGGTCTCATTTTTATTATACTGCAACAGTAATCATACATGAAGTTTTGTTAAATAATCATTGAACATGAAATAACTATGGTAAATACCTATATATTAATCAAGTGTAGAAAACTAATGAAAATATTTCTTTTACATTGATGACATTTATTTATTTTCTATTTTCAGATTTTTTTCAAATATTCAACAGAATGACAATGATTTTCGACGTTGATGATTTCGAATACGGTGATTTTCTTTCATGTCCGTATGAATTGTGTAAATTATTCTTTTTTAAGTCTATGAATTGATATCAAAATCTATACATGTATTTTCTAGCACACGGACACACCGATGATGATAACGATCTTACGGATATAACCGATCTGTTGATGGAGTCATAGAAAGAATTGGAAACGTTTTGGAATTCTGATCAATTATCAGAGGAAGAAAATTTTCTGATCGTTGATTATCTCTGTTATCATAAAGAAAATTTTGAAGAACTTCACTGATATACATTACAAAGTATAGGACAATATATCATACCGATGGATTCAAATGAAGATGATGACATCATGATTATCGATGTAATAAACTGTATTGATTGAAGAGTTGTTCGATGTTTTAAATAAATATTTATCTTTGAAAGGATCAAAATAAACGAACTGCTATACCATCTTGAGGGTGTGGGTGTGGATGTAAGTAAGGATCAACAGCATCACCACACCAACACCTTCAAGATTGTTTCAAACAAAATGTAAGAATAACAAAATCTACTTATTGCAGTTGTTAAGCAAAACAGCTAGTGTCTTTTAATGGAGATTTAAGGTTCTTTTTCTGTTCTGTTCTGTAATCATAGAATCAATATATAAAAATACCGACATACTCTGACTGAAAAGAACCATTTCAATGCGCACTGTTTCGTTCTATTTTTTTAATTGTGTACATGACGACAAATACATTTAAAAAAAAAGTATTTTTCATTTTTCTCTCTACAATAATAATCGACATTCGGCAGAAGAAACATTTGCAAGTTATTCGAAGGCAGTCGCACATCGACATTCTTACAAAATAAAACCGTAGATTATACTGAAAAAGTAGGTACCATACGAAATCTAAAAGTAATTTCGAGAGTTAACCATTTTGAAACTCTTTTTTTCTCTCGAATTAAGTTGTATCAAACTGTAACCAAATAATTTCTAAAGTTTTATTAAAAATGAATTCTTAAATTCGTCTGGATATGTGAACGAGAAAATATTCATTCTGTTCTTCTTGAATATTCTTTTTATGTGGAACGTTTTGCTTATCTTCTGATCTTCTAATGATGCTTGTTGATCGTGTCCAAAATTTCGATGATTTTTCAAGCAGAACTTAGTAGTTATGAGCAGGGCGTTCTGCTTATCACTACGAAGTACACGCATAAATTATTTAAATATGACTATCTCGAGATACTTAATATTTTCAGGTAGAATCGACATCCATATAATTGTTATAGACAAGTTAATATTAGAATTTATCGATCATCTTCTTTACGCTTTCACTAAAATGTTTTCAACCATTATCTTCTCTCGTTCCTTATTCAAAAATTCTAAATGCTGAGGAAATTTTTAACGAGTTATGACACGAAGAATTGAAGAGTGTAATCAGTATGATAATTAACGTTGATTATATGAAAAGTTTACATGTGTAGCTATTATCCTAATGATCTTGAGGGTGGAATATACTACTATGCTGTCCTTTTCCCAACTTATTGAGTTCGAATAGGTGCACGAGTAGAACATAACGATGACAAAATATTTTCCAAGAGACTTTTTTAATATGATGATACTATGATATTTTATTTCTTGTCACAAACATATCTTCCATAACAGATACATCAGTAATTTCACTGGAAAGAACTCTAAAAATTGAATACTTCTATCTAGAAATGGGATCATGCATTAGAAAAACAACCGGTACGACAAAACAACACCCTTGTGGTGGCAATCCCTGTCCTCGTTGTGGAAAATGCGCTGATTGGACTTATGATGGTGATTTAAAGGGTGCTATGGAGCATTGGATGCATGGCGAATCTGATGAAATAACTGATCAGAAGCGTTGGCATCGTCATCCTAATGCAACATGTGCTTATATTGCTATTCGTGCTCGTCGTACTGATCATGTCTGTCAATGCGGTTGATAGCAAACATATTTGTTTTATGTTTGACGTTTACCTTCTGACCTTGATGGTCCCGAAGGGACAATTGTTGGACAATAGATATATTTGATATAATATTTATTGAAAAGTAAAATGAAATAAAGATAAACATACCATTATGTAAGAATAAAGCATAGGCAAGTCGCTGCTCAGAAGGGGTGGCCATGAAAACAGAGATTTATGAGATGAGGAAATGTTGAAATTTAAAATCATCTTGAGGGTGTGGGTGTGGGTGTGGGTGTGAGTTACAGATATCAGACCGACACCCACACGCACCATTCACCTATTCATACTGACATCTACATTCACCTTTGTAATGATGATGTCATTCTGAGTTCTTCTTATCATAGTAATAACTATGCAAAAAAAAAGACTTCTATCATTTGTCATTGCACAACACATATGCAATACATAAATAACAAAAGAATTGATAAGATTTGACTTATTTAAAGCACTGTTCTAAGAACATCTCTATTATAGTTGAATATTAGATTTATTATTTGAAGAAAACCAAAAAACCAAAATGAACACTTGGAATAGTAAGTCAAGAAATAAGCATACTGATCGGAGAAAATTAAATACAAAAATCTTTTAGGTGGACTTTTCGATTGTTTCAGTGATAGTGGTATTTGTTTATATGGTTGCTTTTGTACACCATGTTTATATGGAAAAAATGCTGAAAAAATCGATGGAAGTAGCTGTTGTAATTCAGGGTGTTTATGGTACTTGATGTCGGGATGGAGTTTATGCTGTTTAACACATATGCCAAAACGAAAAGCTTTACGTAATCGTTTTGATCTTCAAGAAGATTGTAATGATTGCGTAGCAACAACATTTTGTGCTCCATGTGCTATTTGTCAAGAAGCACGTGAACTTAAATCTCGCCTGACGACTAACGAAGGTATACTGTTCATATTAAAAGCTTATATGATATATTAATTATGTATATATATTTCATGATTCTAGGACCAGTTGTAGTACAACCAGTGAGTGCAAATTATAGTACATTTGGACAATCAAAAGTGACAAAATAAGAAAACAATTGAAGAAAACTTTTTTTTTTATAAGTCAGCTTATAAAATATAAAAAATAAAGAATAAAGTCGTTTTATATGCAACTGATTATTTAATATAACAGAAATTCATGAATCTTATATTGAAACAAAATAATCGAATGACAATAAATATCCTGTGAGCAAAACATCTTTCTTCAACAAGAAATCGATAGTATAATTTATGTATCACCTATCCTAAAAGTACTAAAAGATGTTGTTATCTAATTTTTGCAAAAATATCTTGAGGGTGTGGATGCCAATTAGAATATTTATCCACACCCACACCCTAGATATCAGTTCCTAGTCCTAATTATCAATATATAATATCAGGGGTGGCCCGACCGGGGGGGGTGTCGGGGGTGTAACACCCCCCC